TAATTGAGAACTCGCCAAAACCTATCCTGTACAGTCAGTTATGGGAGCAGAAGTTCACATCACCCAGAGGACTACTTGAGAAAAACCCCCAGGGCCAACAGACCTGTAGGTTAGCTGGATAAGAAGTCTTTTCCTTTTTTCGTAGAGTGCAAGTAGTGCTCACTACAACCACTCAAGTTGTCAATTCAAACAGTGAATGCTTTGGAGAGCTCTCCCTATGCATCCTGTTTGGTTATACTCACTGCCAGCAGCAGTTGATCTCTTTCAATTAAGTCAGCCAGCTTGTAGAGGAGGCGTCCCCTCTCTGAAGCATCCATAGTACGCCATGGAGAGCCAATCTGAAAGGCCTGCCTTGCAGCCTTCACTGCTTTGTCAACATCTGCCTGTAAGTCAGACAGAATTCAATTCAATACACTCAGCATATTGGCAGAGCAAATCCAATGGGAATAACCCTTTCAAACAGACTGGACCTACTCATAAACAGGCGGTGGTTCTCCATTATCTGCAAGTCTAGCACATTCTATGTATTCAACTACAGTACGTAGGACTGCCACCTGCTGATATTCTTTCGAATGATGAGCTCCTCACACCTCACACATGCTTGATTTCTTACATTATAAAAGTTAACGATATTTTAGTAGTTTACTAATATCTGAGTGTTGACCATATTTTAGTTAATGTTTTAAGAACTTTACATGTGTTAACTAATTTGATTTTCAAGAATCTCATGGGACAAATATGTTCTCCATTTTACAGATGAAGAAACAGAGAAGAAATATTTGTTCAAGGTCAGGAACTAAAATTGGATGAACTGAGTTTGAATGAAGGTGGTCTAGCAATGGATCCCTTGCTCTTTACCATACTTTCTACTCCTTTTGTAATTTGCCTCATTGCCTGCACTCAAGTTGCCTTCCCTCGTGATTTTCTCTGTTGTGTTTTTCTAAACCAGCTGTACCCCTCTAGTTCTTTCCTAATCATCCCTGGTTATTCCATTCCCTTATGGGTCCTTGTGCAGACCCTTTCTCATGTCCCACAAAATATACCTACAATCCATATCACCATCCTTACATTACTACTTCATATGTTTGTTTTCCCCCAAATAAATTGCCAATACATTAAATTCCAACATTCTTCTCATCTTCCCTTTTTTTTTGCATAGGACTGACTACTGTGTGGAAATTCACAAATTAGGACCACACCACAGGCCATTAGGTTGCAACTTTTTTCAGAAGCTGTAATTCTGTTTGAGAATTAGGATGAGCAGGAGGAAATGATTCTCTTTTTAAGTTGCTCACAATTAAGCTGAATCTTATTTAACAATGAAGGGTCCCTCTTGGAGAGTTCCGGACCTCTAATTAATATGTCCCCACATTAGCCTGCATTCAGTTAAGAAGCTTAAAACTTACAAGTCTGAAAATTAAAGCGCAGATAAATAAAAGTAGTTTTAAATACATATGCTCCTTGATTTTTGATCAGGTTGCATTCCCATAAACACATGGTAAGTTGCAAATACAGTAAGTCAAAAATATATTTCATCCTCCTGATCTAATGCATGCCATGGTTTAGCTTAGCTTGCCTTAAGTGTGCTCAGAGTCCTTAAAGATTATTTTATAGTAAAATGTTGGATGCCTGTTTAGTTCATTTAATGCTGTGCAGTAATGGCAGTGTAGAAATAGATTGTGTAGCTGACTGGGAGCTATGGTTTACTGTTGCTGCTCAGAGTGGAAAGAGGATATTGTTCTGCTTAGTATTGCTAGCCTGGGGGAAATAATCAAAATTTAAAATTCCAAGTATTGTTTTTACTGAGTGTGTATTGCACTTGCATCTTACTTAAGCTAAAAATGTGAAGTTGAAACTATGTAAATTGTGGATCATCTGTATTTATAACCAAACTAGGATTGTTTGGAATAAGAGAGATTTTTTAAAGTATAATCAGCTACAAGGAAATATTTTTCACAGTAATCCATTAGAGTAGTTTATCTCACTATAAAACTTAGGGGAATGATGAATATATACAATAAAATATCTGGCTTTATTGCTTGGCATCCTGAGAAATACATACATAGTTTATATTTTGAGCATTCAATTAATCATATTATTTATGGTTGGACAATACTTTTGTCATAAGTTCTACTCTTTTCCAATTAAATGCAGAAAGCACTGTTTAGTAAAAGAGACAGAGAAGCAAACCATAAGGAACTGAGTTGACAGAATGATCTGTGAACACCACAGCTTATAAAATATATGCAGCTCTGTGTTTAAACAGATCTGTGTGACACAGCTTTCATTTCAGTCCTTCCACTCATTGTTCTGTCACTGGTGTTAGCCAAGTATGGGCTATCAGAGGTTTCCTGGCCCCTCAAAGGGATAAGAAGGAACTGGCTGCAAGACAAATTACTCTGCCATATGAAAACTACATCCTTAGAGAATGCTGCTAAAAGTAAAGATATTCTTGTTCTTGTGTCTTGTGAATTATATCTTTCTCTTACTTCTGATATTTCATTTTATAGGAACATAAGTAGAGTCATGGTAGCTAATTTATATGTTTGGAACAACATAATCCAGGTTTATATTCAAATTCCATTGGTTTGGTAATTTTTGAGGCATCCAGCCATCCATATTGATCCCTCCATCCGTCCATCCGTCCATCCATGTAAAGATTTCATACACAATCCACCTATAGCATTCTTCTCATTGGTCTGCTAATGATAGAACACTTCACTAAAGAGACTGACCTTTTGACATAGTCAATCAAATGGGAGGCACATACAGCCAAATCATCACTCCGCTATCATATATTCCACGAATAACAATTAACCCTCAGTGTCTAAGAGGAATTAATTCCATAGACCACCTTACCAACAACCTAAATCCACAGATGATAAAATCTCTTATTTAAATTGACATGGTATTTTCATATAACCTACATATATTTTCAATTATCTCTATATTGCTTATTATACCTACTATAACATAAATGATGTGCAAAGAGCTGTCATGCTATAATGTTTCAAGTATAATGATGAGAAAAAATATTTGTACACATTTAGTACAGACACCTCTTGGGTAGGCTTAATTTATAGTTCATGCCAGCAACAACATCACCATGGTGGGTAACATGATTGCCTGCGACATTTACAATTTTTTTAAGTAAAGACCCACAAGCTGAGTATGTACACAATTTGAAAGATAATAAGCTCTCAAATTCCTCCTAGGCAATGGTAAGGAAAGACTGAACACTTCAGCTTCTCCCAGATCATACATTTGCATATTAAATTTATTCAGAGATGAAGAAAATAGTTATGAGATGAGGTTTTACTTTTACACTTGTCATAAACACTCATTTTAATGTACATTTGTTTTTATCCCTACCAATTATTGTTAAGTCATGTTGTAGAAGCAGTTTTCAGGATTAGTCACCACAGCCTGAAAGAACCACTGAAGTGAAAATGGTTGCCACCTACATTTGTGCTTTGTTCTATAAATTCCATTTGTTCTTGTCCTTTCCCTTTTCATTTTGATACCACTGAGAGCCCATTGTTAGTCCCATTCTACTTACATTAAATCCCTAAAGCTTTTGGCTCATTATTTAAAGAGTCAGTTCCAGAATATTAGGTTTATTGTAACTGGGTAAATTACAAGATCCAGTACCCATATACTTATAACACAAGGGCTATAGACAAATACAATGTTCTGTAACCACATAGAAAAAAACAGTTCTTTCTGGAAAGATTTGAGAAGGCTTCAAAGAAGTATAAAGCCCCATAATGACTGAGGCTTTAGGTCCTGACACTTTTAAAGATCTTATTAGCAGTAAGATCTTTTTTTTTTCCTGCTACAGGAGTCAAACTCAGGACCTTCCACTTGCCAGGTAGGTACAGTGCCACTGAGTTACATCCCTGGCCCAGCAATACAATCTTGAGTAAAGTATTCAACCTTTCTGTTCTGCTATTTTATCATCATTTTGAAATACAGCTAAAAATAGTATCTTCCTCTTAAGGTTTCTGTAAGTATTAAATTAATACTGCACTTAGAAATAAGAATTGCCTTCTTAATTTGGTTAGAATGTAACTATACTTTTAGCTAGTCATTCAACCTGTCATTTTAAAGGTATTCATTAATATTAATTTCATGATTTTTAATAAAATAACTTGACAATGTATTACCTAAAATAGAGTATCTAAAAATCATACATTAATTTTTAAAATTCATATAGCAAGTGAAAAACAATGATTTTATACTAATAAAAGATTTCTTTCCTCTTTCAAACTTGTGATTATCATTTACTGTAGAATCTTTTCATATAACAAATCTATTACACATTATTCCATTGAAAAACAAGGAAAACTATAAGAAAAGGAATAACTACAATATCTTGGCCATAACAGTCATCATCATTACCTGATGACCAAGTGCCCTTCATGAGTTAAGTCTGGCCCAGAAACATGTGTTTAAGGCATTTATTGAATTTTCAGTGGGGTTTGGGAGCTCAGAATGATGAGAATCAAAGGAACCTGATATAAAACAGAGCTAGAATTCAGTAACTCACCTTATCCCCTTCTTCTACCTGACAAATTATCTCTTCAGTTGCTGGGTTAATGACAGAAAATTTCTTGCCACTCACTGAATTATTCCATTCATTGTTTATGAAGATCTGTAGGGATACAGACAAAGTAAATTAAAAAGCATTTAAACAGTTACCAATTTTTGGAAGATTTTATGAATTTAAGCTGAAGCACCACACATGGCCTAAAAATTTTTCCCAACTAAATTAATGTTTTGATTGTAACTGGCATTTTTCATAGGAACACACATACGTATACACACGCATGTTTGCACAATAAACTGATTTTTTTGTTTCATGAATATATACGGTTTTCTCAATGCTTGAAAATACAGACTGTAGAAAACAATTTTATAAATGCTGTTTTCATAAAAGCATTTCCTAATTTATTTGTCTTCAAAGGAGAACAGGTACTAGATTTCTTAGTCATACCAATGACATGCATGCCGAAAATTTAGAATATTATTCTATGTGCACTATATCACAACAGAAGTTTAAAAAACCATCAGTGTGTCATTTATAATGTTTCGGTTTCAACTTTTGCACCTCTGAATTTTATTTCATTGAAAAACCAATTTGATGTTCATTTACCTTTTATTGGATAAAAATAACTGATAAAACCAAACTAAAGAATACTGTTATGTGATGAATAAGGCTATATTCTGTTTCTGACAAATGCTAGAGTTTTTTCATTTTTTTCACCCCTTTATTTCTAATTTATTTATTTTGTCATTATTGATACATGAAGCAGTCATAAGTAACTATTGGGTAATATATAGTACAGCTTTTTGACCACTAGAATTAATTCATTTAGTTTTGAATCAGATATTTGATAAGTGCATTTCTAAAAGAATGTTGCCTTATGCACTGGGCTTATAAAATATATCTTATTTCAGATATCCATCCTTACTTGATATTTAAAGATACATATCAGGGGCTGGGGATTTAGCTCAGTGGTTTCACCACCTGCTGTTCAAACACAAGGACCTGAGTTCGATCCCAGGTACCAAAAAATAAATAAATAAATAAATAAATAAATAAATAAATAAATAAATATAAAAATAAAGATATGCATCCATAGTTCAATCCTGAATGTATCAAAACACCATTCCCCAAGTTTTAAGTTAGTTTTATGCTAGCAGCAAGTCACTGAAAACTAAAAACTTCCCAGTGATGTCTATCAAAATTATACATTCTGCACATGAGTACACTATATTAGTGATTTGCTACACAATGGGCTGGAGGACAAACCTTTCTATTTGCCTGTTCACACCAATTCAGTTATTCACACAAAAAGCAACATCATCCTATATTTGTCGAAGAATTCAAAAGAATGGTAGTGCCAGGATAGAACTGACAGGAAAGGATGCATGCATGAATAAATAAAGGATGGAGTCCCAAATAGTTCTGATGAAGAGATCAGATGGAGAAAGACACACTTATTAGGGTCTAAGAAAGAGCACCATCAAATTCTCAATTCACAGACAGTGTAACTGAATAGAGACGAAGCACACAAAACTTGCCCTATTATCCTTCAAAAACAATAAATGTTGGCATCTGTTTTCAACTTGAAGGAATATAAATTTAAAGCCCCAACTGGTGCAGCACCTATCAGAGTGAAGCAGTGCATAAGCTATCAGAAACACTTTGTAGAATCCCATAATTACTCTTAAATTGTATTTTCTTTTATGCACCCTTAGCCCTTATCACTTAGTGTTTCTCTTCCCCAGGGATGGGTGGGAAACACTTTAGTCAGTGTGCCTCAAACTCAGCCCACTGTCATCTTTAGGCTTTGGCTGCTTTATCCCTCTATTGAAGCCCCTGATCTCTCTCTCCTCTCTCTCTCTCTCTCTCTCTCTCTCTCTCTCTCTCTCTGTCTCTCTCTCTCTTTCAAGAACACACATAATCCCTACATCCCTACTCATTTTTCATACCACATTTTTCCTTAGTACTTTTTTAGCCTCTCCCTGCCCGATGTCTGCCTCATTAAAATTTAATTTTTACCTCATTACTAGAATCTTCCTCACCTAACCAAGTTCACTTTTGTCTAAATGCCTCCTCAGAGCACATCAGTGCTCCCTCCTTAAGCTCCTTAGCATGACACTTAAAGTTGTTTACGATTTGGCCCCAATATCCTTTTCCAACCTGTAGTCCTGCTGTCACTGTTTCAAATGCCATGCCCTTCTTTACTCCACATCTTTATTAATTAGGTTCCTCAGATGGGAGTTTGCTATATTCTTCTTGTATTTGAATGTCTGGATTAATACATCATCTTCTCATGAAGATTTCACTAGTTTCTCCAATTGTATCTACTCTTTCTTTCTAAAACTATGTGCTACTATTTAACAATAATTACTTATTTATTTATTCTGCTTCTTTGTTAAATATCCACATATCAGCCCATGAAATTTCCAATGTAAAACAAAAGACTTCATTATACTTGCCTTAGATTTTTAAATCAACTTTTAAAAACTTGCTAATAATGCCTTCCCCTTGCCCTCAAAGACATAATTCTGTATCTCTTTAGACTTTATCTCTCTAAACTAAGGGAATTTGTAAGTCTCATTTTGTAAGAAATATACTCAGAATTCTACCACTTTACAATTCAGTTTTACTAAACAGAATAAAAAGAAAACATACAGAATTGATTTTGTTTTGTTAGCCTTTTGGTGAGACTTTCCAGTTCTTGTTTGAGTCCTTTTATTTTTAGGTCTGTGCTAAATTTTGGTTTCAAATTCTGAATAATATGAGCTGAATACCTTTTAGTTTTGTTTTACTCCCTTCATCTAATCACTTTGGGTGAAAAAATCGTTACAACATAAACTGTACATAAATTTCCTTCTTCAGATTAAAGTCAGTTAATGTTTGTGAAAATGAATATTAATTTAAAGTAAAAAGACAGTTTA